GTGTGTGTGTGTGTGTGTGTGTGTGTGTGTGTGTGTGTGTGTGTGTGTGTGTGTGTGTGTGCGTGTGAGTAAACCTACCTGTTTGGAGAAGATGCCACAGATGCCGATGATGACCAGGATGTTAAAGACAGCTGAGCCCACGATAGTTCCCACACCCACATCTCCCTTTGTAATAAACACCCCTAAAAACACAAACATCATCAAGAGTCATAACTAATCATTTAAGAAATGATGGATTGTTTCTCCATCACACACATATTAAACCAACAAATCAAATGTTTTCATAACCACAGGGGCAGGACAGATGTTTCTTTTCATACTGATTGTGTAATAGTCACTGATTATCGCCTAAAGTCACACTGAACACTTCTTTCCTTTGAGAATAAAATTGATTATTGGTGATATTTGAGGAAAATGTCCTTGAAGCACATTTAGAATCAAAGGTTTTGTTCTTATTCACAGACAGACATTTGTCTCCAGCAGCATGTCCCAATATAATAAATGGGACCTTATATTCTCTTTTAAAATGACATGAGAGATGAGTCAAAGTAGAACCTCTTGATGGTATCTACCATATATTGCTTAAATTATTGTTGTTTTTTTTTCTCATTTCCACAAATGTGTATGACATGTCTTTCTCTATTCTGTGTTGCATCTGAGATCCATTGAATTTGAAGTAACAGCTCCTTATATAAGACTGATCAATTTAATCAAAATGTTGAAATAAAAATGTGCTCCAATAGGAACCTTTAGATGTGCATATTAAATTCTGCTATACCACTGCAATGAACTGTTTCGTGAAAACAAATGTTCTTGCTATAACATCTGGACAATGGAAGAAATGTACCTGTGAGCTGTCAGTCATAGAACATTTAGACATGCTCTCATTATAGTCTTTGTTCATGTCTAATTAATACAGAAATGGGTCAGTGTCAGTCCTTCAGCCTGTGGACACTTGACTCCTCTCAGTCCTAATCACGTGAAGATGCATATGATTGCAGGTGAGTGCTGATGGAGTAATCATTGGGCTAACCCATTCTTAGCACAATTTATTAGACGAGAGTCGTATTTACCAATCAATGAGGTGAAGAGCTCGGGTGCAGAGCTCCCGGCTGCCATGAAGGTTGCCCCGGCAACATCCTGACTGAGCTGGAGGTTCTAGAGGAGAGACGAGTTTGGACGATCACGATAAAAGGACAACATGAAACTCAGGAAAATGATTTTTGCCTGGGAGGTTGTTTTCATTGCTGTCTGTCTATTAGCAGGATTACGCAAAAACTACAGAACTGTTTTTCTTGGAACTTGGTGGAACCATGGCCAAGGAAGGATCCATTAACATTTGGAGCAAATTCGATTAAGGGGGCAGATCTAGGAAAAACATTTCACTTTCTTTAACATTGCAAGGTGATTTTTGACATTCTTTGTGAATTTCTGAGGAAATAATAAGTTAATAAATAATAAGCGAGCTGACTCTGAATAAACAGCACGTGATGGTTGGGTGGCAGGATATATTTTCTTAACATCAGAGTAAATGTCACTGTTTTTCATACCTCTGATACTTTCTCCAGTGATGGTACAAAGTAAACATCACACACGATGGCCAGTGCATGAAACATATAGATAGCCTGTAAAGTATAGGAGATACTGCATTGGTCAAGAGTCTGTCTGAGCTCTAATGCAACAAAATGCAGATTCTTTCATTTCAAAGTTCTGGATGTATTTCTGGTAAAGCTGATACTCACACAGAGAACATGGAGGAGGACTGCTCCTTGTCTCCTCTGCTCCAGAGTGAAGATGTCTTCAGGGAACTCACTGATAGCTATGGAAGAAATGGAGAGAGCGAAACATTAAGATGAATGAAACAAAGTAAGTCTAAATAATTTAAATGAGAGAATTTGGACGCTGAGATAAAACTGAAACCCTTAGTTATTGTTTGACGGATCCCAAATGAGAAAATCTGCCACAATTCATCAACTTTTCTTGAAGCTGAGACACTTTTGCATCAAGAAAGTGACCAATGTTCTTCGTCTTTTGTGATTGTATTGATATATTTTTTAATAGACAATTTCTGGCCCAAGAAAATAAACTAAAAATAAAATTAACATTAGCTTGGGATCTGATAAACTGCAATTGGCATTTTCACCATGCATCGTAAAATTTAGATCAAAAGCAAAATCTTATTCTGGATAAAAATAATCTGAGTTGCCCTAGTTTAATAATTTAAAGCAATTAAGACGCTTCTGTTCTTATGAGAATCGAGGAACTTCTGGCTGTTCCAAGGTCAAGACTGAAAAGATAATCTGTGTTGAGGATGACAAATCATTGCACAAATGTAAAAGTGCTTCAAACCCCTTCTCTTACTTTGGCTTTTTTGTAGTTTGTGATTTTTACATACTTATACCTCATTGTTAATATCACTCTTTGTCTTAAATCCTGTTTTTAGGTTTACATGCCTACTGGTCTCATTTGACTAGAAACTGAATATTTCATCAAACATAACAAGCAATTTGATGATATTACCTTTGGCAATCGGTATTTTTTCTTGATTAATGGAGAAAAATAACCAGCAGGTCGTCATTTGTAGCTCTTAGCTGAAAAGGTATTCACTTGTGTCTGCACGTGTGTATGTGTGACTTGGATGTGTGTCAGATTTTAGCAACAAAGGAAGTGACAGCATGAGGTTGAAGTGGTAACACAGTCGCGCATCTTGTAGCGCACCTATTGTGACTTCACACTCACCTCAGGTAATTATATCTTACATACATTACATATTATTTAGCTGATGCTTTTATCCAAAGTGACTTACAATAAGTGCATTCAACCATAGGGGTACAAACAGCAAGAATCAGGTAAGTACATTATTTTCAATAATGTTAAATTCCTGTAAACTTCTCCTTCAGCGCAATCTTGACTCTGAGTTGGACAATGTCGCCCTCTTCTCGTCTCTAAGAGAGTTTTGTCAGACTGCACTGTCTTTATACGTAAGCTCAGACAAATGCCAAATGTACTGCCTCCAGAGAAACTTGTGACTTTCCTCACAAGGTTTTCTGATTTAGTTATTAGACTTATAAAACCTCAAGTGAGGATTAACAAACAGCAGAGTTAAGCAACTTGTGACAAATTTGGATGGAAGATCCTGCACAGAGGAAACATTGTGCAGTCAGAGGTGTCACATGTAGGGATTGAGACACGGACCTGATATGATAACCTGCCACATGATTGGGTTTGGACACCCTGATCAAACTGAATATTCTATCATCAAGAAAAAGACAGTGCTCTGGAAAACAGAAATATGATAATTGGAAGAAAATTGTTTTGAGACCTTATAATTCCCTGTGGCATTAGGTTTTTTTTTCTTTCTCTCTAATTGGCAGCAAAATCTGTTCATCTCAGTATCAGACTATGAGATGCGGTCATCTTTCTCTCTCAGTCCTTCATCCCCTGCTCCGAGTGATGAGGGAGAGCTGCTGATGAGAAGCTACTAATCAGCAGGTCATTAACCACAGGGCAGGCACTTTGAACCGCTCCAGACACACACAGCATCCAACCATGGATCCAGCATTCAGTTACCTAGCAACTGAGTCCCTCAAATGCCTAACTGTGTTTAAACATCTAGATGTGCAGCTTGAAGAAATGAGGGATGATGTGGACTGGAGAGGTGGGTTTATGCACGGGACGAGATGGACTTTAACAGATTAATCGTGACGGGACCACACGCTCTCATGCAAAACACACACACAATCCCTCTGGTGTTACCAAGATCACCATAGTGACCGCACATTCATCACTGCATGAATATTCAAACCCAAACTTCAATCTGGGTGTGTTAATGGTTAGAAACGTCATTATTCCAAGTTGAAATTCTCACGAGGAACTGTTTTTCAAAGGACAAGACGAATGAGAATGAATTAGAATAAGAATAAATTCTCTTCTCCTCTCTAACCGGATCTAGAAATGCTGTCATTTTGGTTGTTGGCTTCTGTTTGCTGGGTGAGCTCTCTCTTGAACAAGATGTCAGGATCCCCTGTAGGTCCATGTAAACCTAAAGAGAGGAATGGACAGATAAATACATCACTAAAAATACAATTATAACCATTATAGTTTATGTAAGTGTTTGTAAAATACCTGAACTGAAGGATAATGTTTACTCAACTTCATGACATTAATTTTGTCTAATAAAATATTAGTTTGAGGCTGCAGTGATCTTTTATTAAGTGTATTATTATTAACAGCTGACATTTGAATATGTTGTCATTTACGTGGTTATAAACAATACAGCTAATGGATGAGTTTAACTTCAATAAAACCAATGCAGTTAGCACCTGTCACATCATTCAGGTGAAAGATCCAAGCGGCTGTGATCAGACCGACTCCACAGACACAGAACCGCGGGAGGAGGCGCGTCTGCCTCGGCGTCTTCATCCCCGCCAGCCGCCGCCGCTCGCCGGGCTCCCCTCTCAGAACATGTCGCTTCCAACGCCGCTGATGGTGTCACTCCTCCTCGGTTCCGGACTGAAACGATCCGGCCTGTTGCTCCCGATCTACCGTCGCTCAGCTGTTCAGGCTTCGCTCTCCATCCACGACACGGGAGGATGTTAAGAAGCGTCGTCCTCTCATCAGCATCTCAGCGCCCGGCAGCGTGAGTCAGAGTCGGTCACTCAGCGAGCACCGACGCAGCATCCGCGTCCACGAGCTCCAGCTCCAGCAGATATAAACACCATCTGCACAGAAACACCAGCCTACATCACACCGCCCTCACGTCCCCTTCAGTCTGATCCCCGATTAAAGATGTGTTTCTTCCCCTGGTTCGGAGGGAGGGAGGGAGGGAGGGAGTCACGGATGAGACCAGCAGGCAGCGCCTTCAGCTGGGTGGGGCGAGTGGAGAGAGACTGGCAGCGCAGGGAGGCATGGATGAAACTGTGGATGGACACACTGAAACACTAACAAAGGTGAAACACAGGGAGACTGGGGAATGAACCTCCTCTTCATTATAAGCCTGTCCCAGTGTTTATGTCAAACTAAGATCAGCTTCCATTCATTTTATTAGTTACACAGATCACTCTGTTTATTTTGAATAATTTAGACTTCATATTTTATTTACAGAAATGAGTAAGAAACTTTGGTGTCATTTCAGACACATTATCATGGTTTGGCCTAAATAAAGTGTTTCTTAAATTCAATTTTTGTATAAAAATACTCTAGCAGCCTTTGATAATCTTGGGATGAACAGGATTTCCAGTACATGACTGTGACAGTATAAACAATAATAATAAAACTTCTAAACTGCAGCAGCTAAATGGAATTCAACCCGAAATTAAATTTTATTTTTCACAATTGTGCTTTTCCTACTGTGATCTGTCAAAATGACTCTCATGAATAGGTCTACTGGAAGATTTATTAATTAAAATATTTAATATGATTTTAAATAGATTATGCAAAAGCTATATGACAGACTTCCATGGATGGATGGATGAAGGATGGATGAAGATGAAGAACCCATTAAAGTTTGGTGCACATCTGGATCAGGGAGCGGATCCAAGATTTTAATGTTTTTCACCACTTTTTATAAAATTGTGGGATAGAGAGTTTTTGGACATTTTCCCCAGTTTCCCCAGATAATTATCTGGATCTTGATGAACACATTAGGCACAAAACATTAGGCGTATTTAGAGGGCTGGTATCGATTAGTAGGTGAAGTTGGTGCAGCTTATTGAATTTACAGGGACTGTTGGGCCTTGGCTCTGCTGAGTGCCTTTCTAGTTAATGTTGTATTTTTGCAGAAATTACTATATTAGCAAGAAAGCCTTATGATTTGTTGTGTAGAAAACAAAAGCTACGAAAACAACCCACATTGATGCAGATAAGTTGACGTCACTTTATAAGAGGTTAAGATCAAACAGGAGGTAAGCCACCATAGTGCACACTGCAGTAGGGCTGCAATATCACACGTGCACCATTCCAGAAAGTGGAAAACAAATCACTGTTTCCTGACGTCACAAAGGCCAAAACCAGGAGCAAGAGGACGCACATCATGAAAAGTCCTGCTCTCTGAATGGCTGTTTGTGAGATTCCTGACCACCTTAGATAATGGAGAAGCCAAAGAGTCGAGAGCGCAGAGAACAAAGAAGAAAAGAAAAGAGCAGCATCAGCATATGATACAGAACCACAAGTCTGTCTCTATCATACGATCATTTATATATCAGAGCTACAACCTTTTGGTCTGAAGATCTTCTTCGAGACTCTGAGGTTTCAGCAAGTCCTCGGTCTCAGTTTCCTTCTGCAGCAACAACACCAGAGATCATTAATCTACTGTTTTATCTCAATCTACTGGAACAAAGCTACTTCAGAGACTGGGCTTTGAAGAGGCACTCTAGTGGTCACTTGTGGAAGTAAATTAAAAAGGTGGTGAATGTCTTAGTTCCACATTTTTTAAGAGTCAAGAGTTTAAACATAGAAGTAAGACTTCATACATGTATTAGATGTGTGGAGTCTGACATGCTTGTCTTCACTTCATCTGAAGAAGCCAGCAGCTTAATTTCTTCTAAGAGGGACAGAGGGGGACTGAGCGATCCATCGTTTTCTTCCGTCAGGTCACTCAGAGCAGAGCTGGAAACCAATAGCAGACACACAATCCAGTGTTGAGTGCACACAGATGTGTAAATTGTGACAATCACTGAAAGGAAAGAGGATTTTGTGTTTCAGAGTTACAGTAAGGCCTCATCCTGTCTGTCCTCCCACTGCTCTCTCAGCTCCTGATTTGTCCCCCTGAGATCCTGGAGCAAAGAAATCAAAACATCTGTCAGATGATGTCGCAGATTTATTCCTACACTGCACATTTATTCATCTGTAAACAATACCAAGCTGTTTGTTGTCAAATGTGTCAGAATTAAAGTGAGAGGAAGTAATTAAAAGCTGCAGCTCACAAGATGCAAATTCAGTAAAATATCTATCATTTCTCAACTTCGTTAAAGTCAAGACGCATATACTTTGTTCTGTGAAGTATTTCTGTAGGTCTACTGAGGCGATGAGCAAGTTTACCTTCAGATTCATTTCTTATTTTAGTTTAAATCATTGATATGATCAGTGGATTTAAATATAATAATGTTTGTGGTTAAACTATAAAATATTAAGCTCCAATTTCTTTGCCATAAGCGTTTGATGTCTGATCTTAGGAATCAATGCCAATTTTTTCGATGCCAATATATATTTATCTAAAATTCTGTACTCCCTAATATTGTCACTCCCAAAAATCCATATTGGTCAGGCTCTGATGATGAGTATGAAATTATGTGGTGTGTTGAAATTTTATAAAACAAACATCTTAACCTTTATGATGATTGAAAACTCTTCGACTGTTTCCTCCAAGTGCTTCAGTTGCAAGTTTGACTATCACGAAACACAAACATTGAGAAATATGATGATCAAATAATGACAAATACAAAACTGTCAAGACAAAGATCATATTTAGAAACTTATGGCCAGTCGCTGCCCAGTACTAATTCATTTCTGTTCGTACCTGATGAAGACTTTCATCTCTCTGCTGCAGCCCGGCATTAGCCTCCTCCATTTCAAACTGAGGAAACACACAACATAACAAATAAAGAGCTGTACATTGACAAAGTAAAATGAGCAGTGATAGGATGAATGGAAAGTGAACAATAATTCATCGTCTCTGAGTTGAATCCTTTGTTTTACCTCAAGGGTTTTCATTGCAGCTTGGAACTTGCTCAGGCTGATCTTGTCCTGCTCTCTCTCTTGCTGGAGGTTCTTCAGCTGAAATTATTTAAAGATGGAGAATGTTCACATTTATGTACTACTTACAAATGTACTGGTATACTGCATGATGACAGACTGGAGTTGTTGTGTGAAAAGAAACAGAAATTACACCTCTGTGGTTAGTTTCTTATTTTGTTCCTTCATCGTGGTGGATTCGTCCTCCTGCACAAAAAACACAACATGAAGAGTCAGCTGAAGATTTTTAAAGTTCTCGCCTTTGTCTACCTGATACCTATGATAACGTGACTGCTGATTTATATCTAAATCCTCTTATGACCTGGATTTAAAGGATGAGAATATGGTTTTGAATGTGAAAAATTACAGGTTAGTAACTATCGCACTGAACTCACTGTTGAGTAAAACTACCAATAAAAGCCACATCACATCCATGTGACTAAGCTTTCACTAAATCTAAATATTTTCTGCAAACACCAGAAATACATATTTCAACACAACAACAATTGTGGTTACCCACCATTTTCTGGATCTCTTTTTCACAGCATCTTTTTACATCAAGGTCATTGGTAACAAGGAGCCTGCAAGGTTCTTCTTCAACTTCCTGTGCTTCACTGATGAGCTTCTCCAGGCTGCAGACACACAAACAAGCTCCTGGCAGTTACTCAGTGTCACAGCACTGCCGCTAAAGCACTCATAAAAAAACATTGAATGATAAAGGCAAATTTAAATTACACATTCTGATGCAGATTTAAATACAATTCACATACAAATCTGCTGGGCCAAAGATGAGGACCTAAAACAGAGCTCAGAGGAGGAACATATGAATAAAATAGGGCAAGAAATGGAGCCTTGTGGTATTCCACTGGGGGTGAGTGCAGTGCAGTGGAAAAATGTGTTCTAATATATTCTGTTATGGTGTGATGGTAATATATTGTTGGCTTGAATACCAACAGCATGCATAATAAAAAAAGACAGACTGTTGATCAGATCAACTCAGATCAGAGAGAATTATACTGTAGATGATGAACACGAACTAAAAGATGATTGCAGTGACAATTTGAGGTCAAACGGTCCAGGGACCATTCTGCTAATGTGTAGATGATAATGAGTGACAAGTTACACTTTCACTTGTTTTTTGAGGGCGACGTTCTCTGAGCGCAGCACTGCCATATCATCATCTGCAACATCCAGCCAGTGCCTCATCGTAGTGTTCAGCTCCTTCAGTTGGCTCTGACTGTAATCCAGCTCAGTTATTTTCTCAAGCATCTCCATTGGTGTCCTACACAAAAACACACACACACACACACACACACACACACCAGAGACCAAGGTTCATTTATTGCTATCAAGTCAATCATATAGTTGGACAGTTTGTGTGTGAAGGTTTGTTCAGTGAACATCACTCACATATTTTCCTTTGTGATTTCCATCCTGGTGGTTTCCTCCTCTCTCCTGCTTGTGATCAATCTATGAACAATTCCCGTTATAAGTGACACAGTTTTTAGGAAATATTCTCCATTCTTCTTCAGTCCTTAATTTATATAGTATTAATAGTGTTTATGGAGTAAAGCTCTGTATTGAACTAGACTAGACTAGCTTATCTTACTAGTATACCATCCATTAATTATTTAAACAATTTAGAATTGACATTTCAAAAGACTGCAGGGTTTCTGCAGGATTTAAGGTATACACTGATGAAAACACACTTGTCATTTCCTTCCAGCTATGTGTGACAATAATTCCTAATATATAAATATCACTACTTCATGAAACACATGCTTGATCCACATTTGCAGCATAGCATGGACATGGACAGATAAAAATAAAAATCTATTAAATACAGGAAATACAACAGATTAGCCTAGCTTTAGGCTAACGTGCTGTAATGAGAGCTACATCAGCTGAAAAAAGAATCTATCTTTATTATTATTATTACTAATAAGAACAATAATGACAGTATTTCTAATGGAGTTCAGGTTCAATATCATGCTAGGTTCCATTGCTAATGTTAGCTCACATTGTTTGATTAAGCTAGCTTACAGCCTGATTGGTTTGAAAGAACAGACTTTAACACTTTGAAAAGTAATGTCAGTGTTTTTCAAGACCTGTTGACATACTGAATATTCATTCATCTTTTTACCCAGCTAGCTAAATGCTAACCACACCACCGCAGCTAACACTTTTCAGCTAACTAACTTAAGCTTGCTCATCAAATCCTGATAAACTCATTTATAAGTTGACTAAAGTATCATACTGCTGAACCCGCCCTGCTGTAAAGTACTACACGAGTACTTCATACTGAGAACAAGACGACTCACCAGCAGTCAGGTCCAAACTAATGAAGGTGTGGAAGCTACATTGTGGGTGAAGCTGCTTCATAAAGCTCAGGCGGCTTGTGTTGATCATAGACTGCACCTGACACAGTCATGGTTCACTAACGAGCTGTTGGTTATTATAAATTCACACATGGAACAAAATAAATACAAAGTGTCTCCTTACATTCTCCTGAATTCAGATCATGGATATGGGTCCAAAATGGCTGTGCCTGTATTAGTTATGATTATATTTCAGATGGTGACAGCCTGCTAGAGATCATCCTCCCTGAAAATGAAATCAAAAGGAATGTGAATGAGTAGATTATGTTGATAGATGGGCTGCTTCATTAAAACTGGTCAAAGGAAAATGTTAGAATTGTTCTTTGTTTTGTGATCAATCATTTATAATGGACAAATACTAAGGCACACTACTTTAAATTATATAATTTGAAATCCTTGTGAAATGAATTAATAATCTACAAGTTTCCTGATTGGGTTAAAACGTGTAGGTGATCTGCCTTATTGTTTTTTTTTCATTCATGAACTCAATGTTTAAAATGATTTCAACTGCAGGAAAAACTCATTACAAACCCAAGTTTTATTAACACAACACAACGTACACCAATTTTTAGAGTATAAAATAATAAAGTGAATCATTTTTCAATCGTTCCCTTCATAAAGTTTAACGCAATCATCTTTAAATGGCGAAACCAAACATCAAATGGCACAATAGACCCGAAAAAAGAAATTAAGCACAAATATATTGAGCAAAACTACCAATACTGACAAACAAAAGTTTGGATTGTGATGTAATTTTTGTGTTGGACGAGTAAGAGCACCTGTCAAACAAAGGCATAAGATTTTTCCACTACATTTTAAGGCTGGGATAATTAAAATGACAAAAAGCAAAGGAGGAGTGTGGGGGTGTTGTAATGAGGCAACAAAATTAAAGTTGCCATCAACGCTGTGTTCCTAATCCATATTTACTGAATCGATGCAGGTTTTGACTATGTTGTGTGTTCCAACTGGAAAAGTAATGAAATAATCTGAGTCTGGTGAAACAGTTCCACGAAACATATCAGGAGAAAAAAAATTTTGGTGAAAACATTTCTGGAAAATCTGAAATCTGACATCTGACAGTGCAAGTGTTGTATCACTGATTGTAAAAAATAAACACAAAGTAGGAAAATAGTCTCATGTTATTACACTGTAGGTTTGGTTTAACAGTCGCTGTCTGACTGAAACATGAACAGTTTGATATGAAACATGGGGAAAGACCATTCACATGTGATGTCAATAGATGGATAAATAGATAAATACTGCATTTACTAAATGACTTTACATTTATCTGTAAACTGCAACCTTAGACATCACTGTCAGTATCCAGTAAAAAGTTCAGTGTATTTGTAAAACTCAGCAGCTAAGTCACAACGGCATATATGAGGCAAATGTCGGTGTATTTTATGATCCGTTCGTCTATTCAGGGACAGTGCAAGCCAAATGTGTGCGCCCCTCACATGTAGGCAGCTAAATGAGCATTTAACATTTTCTTTTAACTTTAAAATACATTCGCGTTTACATATATTTCAGTGCTCAGTACTCCAAAGGAGGCCGGCCTCAATGAGTGTACAAAGGACCTTTGGGTCAAGGTCAATGTACCTTCTCAAGCAGACCCATAAATCCTCAGCTAAATATACAGAGAAGATACTGGTGGGCAAAATCCAACAAAATCTTTAACAACCATATGTTATTCTAGCTTCTTCCCATCCCACCATTTCTCCTCTTGAACTGAGGTGATCTCCCCTGCTGCTGATCCCTAACACCATTAACCATCACCACAAAAGTAAGGACACACAACGTGGTAATCTTCAGTCTTAGCTGTTACCGGGTGGGTTCCAGTGACCCTGTGACTGGGAAGTTTATCCCATCTCCAGGTAGAGGTGATGGGATGAGAGGGCAGAGCCAGCAGAGGTACCAGCGACGGCCCAGGGTGCTGCGCAGGTTGCCCAGGAGTCCCAGATTGTAGGGTCGGCGGGACGAGTACCACTCCTTGGTGGTCTGTCCCCGAAACAGCAGGAAGAGGTGGAAGAAGAAGAATGAGGACACCAGCAGGAAGCCCACCACACATGTATCAGCGATGAAGGCGAAGGCAAAGGCGCGGGCTGAGACCTGGCCTAGGACATAGAGAAGGGACAGAGTCGGTCATAAAACCCCAGGTACAGGCGTAAAGACAGTGTTGCTTTGTATTAATATTAGATAATATATGATCATAATTAATCAAATGTTTTGATAATTAGTTAAAGAAATGATTTAGTGTGACTTCTCCAACTTGTTCAGTGTGGGGATTTGTATATATTTTATCCAAATTCTAAAGTTTATTTTACTTTACAGACAAACATGATATTTGAAGATGTTGCTGATCAGCAGATTAATTGATATTATAATTGATTATTGTTTGGAACCAAATATCAAATGTTAAAAATGGTTGAATAAATTTGACAGTACTTTTTCACAGATTTCTGATCACATTTCTTTCTTCTAACGTACCTGGTTTTGGTGGAGGAGCTCAAGGCCAAAACAATGGGACAACCAACATGTGAGATACCAGATCTTACCTGAAACAAGCATGATCCAGGGTATGAGCAGCAGCAGGATGCTGTGCAGGCTCAACCCCTCCTTCAGTATGACAATGAAGACCTCGGCGTTCATCAGCGTGGCGTACAGGAGCCCAGACCACATGAACAACAGGCAGCTCAGGAAGAAGCGGTAGTTGCGAAAGCCCACGCACTGGCCGAAAAAGACGCAGTGGTGATCCCGCCGCAGCACACACACTTTGCAGTCATAGCAGTGGGAGCATCGAGGAGGAGTGTGTGTCTCACATGTATAACAATACCTGTGTGAAGAAGAATAAAATACTAGTATTCATTTTCAGAGATGCACATAGACACCATGTGTCGATGAAACTGGAACAAATGGTGAATGTGTCTTCACCTTCCTACCTTTGCTGTATGCAAATAATAAAAAAAAGTGTGTCACAGTTAAAACTTACTAAACATGTCTCCCATAAATACCAGCTTTTGTTGTCAAAAGGTTTTTTATTTACTTCTAACATATATGTAATGCAATGGTAGACTTAAAACACATTTCCTGCTAAGATTTAAAAAATCTGCACATTCATGTCAATAACAATACTGAAAGTGTCATTTTTCTGCTTTACTTATAATTGACTGTATCTTTCGTGTATAATTCTTCCTGTTCAATATAATTTCAACCATAGATGATTCATCCATTGAAATTGGTGGATATTACTTTATAACCATTTCTCTAAAAACTAAAACATGAAGGAAAATGTAGTAAAGTAACTATAACAGCCAACAAAAACGTGTATTTATGTGACAGACTTCAGAATCTAAAACACTCAGGGTGGAAGTCATGACTGTTCCACACCAGCCAGGTTCTACTCATTTCTCAAAGGAGGTCACTTCACACACAGGACCCTGTCAGGAAATGTGTATCGATCAAACAGTAAGAAGCCCCTGCTGCTTCCTCACCTCCAGCCCAGGCCTACGCCCTCTCCCCCCAGGAACACCCCCCTGATGCTGGGACTGGTCCTGAGGAAGAGCAGGGCGTTCCAGCAGATGTTTCCCAGCATGAAGTACTGGGCCAGCAGGTGGACCAGCTTCCACCGGGAGGACCACTCCGTCTTCTTCCTGTCCGGCTCCAGCGGAGCCTCGACCATCACCAGGTAGCTCACCTCCGCGGTGATGGAGAAGACCAGGAAGGTGTTGAGGACCACGGGCAGGTGGCGACACAGCCGCTCCACCCGGCAGAAAACTTTCCCGGCCACACTCGTCATGTCTCCCTCTCAACTGTGGCTGTGTGGAGGGACCGGTTTGACAGACACACCCTCGAATAAGCGTCTGTTAGCTTCGTTAGCTAAACAACCGACTCGTTAGCGTCCTGACCGACTTTAAATCAATATAACATTTTCTAAAGTTTCAATCGAACCTTCCACTTCTTCAGAGACAAACTCCTTCACGACAGAGTGAGTGTCAGACGCTGGTTCTCTCACCACGGCTTCTGTCAATGGACGGAATCAGCTCGCGAGTGTTACATGAAAATATGTCCGTGGTGATTCAAGGGACTGTTGGTTCCGCTGGAAACAAAATAAATCTGTGCAATTTCGAAACGTAAAATTGAAAGTGGTAACTGAGCACATTTAATTAAGTACTGTACTTGAGTATTCAGATTTATTACCATATTATATTTGTATCCAACTATATTAATTTGACAGCTATTTGCATATAAAATATAAGCAAGAATTTCTAAAACAGGATGATTTGTTATATATGAAACTACCTGACAGTGTAGAGCTGAAATGATTCATTAATTAGTTATTATTATTGTTATTATTATTATTATTATTATCCTATTTTACCTGCCCAGGGACAACAGATGCAAAAAAAAACTAATGTCAGTTGCTTTTGATTGAACACTGTACCTGTAAAAATAAACAACATCCAAAAATCTGAATAATATTTTGATAAAACATGGTTCCAGTCTCAAATGTGATGATTTGCTGCTTGGTAATCATTTCTGATTTAACAAGTTTGGTTGATTGGGGTTATGTAAGATTTACATCAACAAGGCTCTTGCAGTCAGTAACAATTCATAAGATTTATTCAATTCAGATTTCTAATATGATCATATGATTTCACTACGCAGTGAATGGTCTCCACAGCCTCTTCACCCTTCAACCATTCAGCTAGAGCAAGTGAAGTATCATGAACTCCTCAGGCAGACTGTGCACACACTTCCTCTCTCAAGCTGGGAGGACATTCAACTGGTGTCACTTTAGGCTCTGGTTATTGTGATGGACATTTCTCACTATTCTGTGTTTGCCGTTGGCAGATGTTCCCACTTCTGGTCCTTAAAAGCTCCTGAATTATCCATTTTCCTCAACACTGCCCATACACAGTTAGCTCTTTATTGTCTATAAAACACTCGATGGAGGTAATGAGGTGTAGGTAAAGAAGGGAAATATGAAAATGTACAGCAGTGCGACTCTCCAGGACTAGAAGTGGGCACCATGAATGGAACATTTTGCTTTGCTTCTCTAATATATGTTGCTGAAAAGTAGCTTGATAGAAAGATAGATGTTATTACAATATGATTTCATTATTAATAGGTATCAATATAAAAGAGGGTTCACACTCTGACTGGAAGTTTGAATCTTAGAGGCCTTTATAAGAGGGTCAATTCAATATTTAAGGTCCACACAATGTCCAATTGTGTTTAATGGTTTAAAGTGAGGATCCTCATTATGTTCACTGCACTCTTTCACATTTCAGAAATAAAGTTCCATAATAATGTTTTTCAATCTTTTTAAGCACAGACCTACAGAAATAGTGGAAGTGACAAAACTGGATTATAAATCACATTGAAAAAAATCTCACTCCTGTTTAACCTCTTAACTTCACCCATGATGTGCAGATTGGCAGCATGTCTCTGGACCCTCCCCCCAACGCCCAGACCTTAATCCCTGCTAATCTCTGTATCCACTGAGAGCTGACAGTCATGGCCGCACCGAAGGAGAATTTAATGTCTCTTGGAAATCTGACCGACACTGACAGAAACACTTTCACTACACAAAGACAGCAAAGTCTAAAGCACAGGTAAGATTCATGGATGCTGCAATGGAGTTAAAGAATGGTAATCTGCTGCGGTCATCTGTACCGTGTTGCCTCTGGAAAGTTTGTTGAAAATTGAGAGTTCAGTGTAAAGTGTGTGTGTGTGTGTGTGTGTGTGTGTGTGTTTACATGTATATATATCATTGTGTGGATCATTTGGAGCCTAGACCTTACAGAGTGAAGACATTTTGGTCGGTCCTCACTTTCTGACCCAATGTCAATGGACTGTTTGAGGGTTAAGACTGTATTTTAACGCTAGGATTACAGTAAGCTTTATAGTTTTGGGGGTCAATGTTAGGGTTGGCGTAGAGAATTCATTACACCAATGAGTTTCCTCACTAAGATAGAAGTGTGTGTATGTGTATGTGTTTGTGTGACACTGTCCTTTTATGCAATGTCTGTTTCTCTTACCGTCTTCACAGGCCAATGCTGTTGCAAGCTGACTTTTCAACTCCTCAGAGTTGTCAGCATCTGTAAGTGCACAGAGGAAACAAGCAAGGTGTTTGTGCATCATACCTAATTGTTTTTCTGACTTGTGTGTTTCATGCAGCAGGGTGATGCATCTGCAGAGGCGCTGGCAGGAGCTGAAGGAGAGAGAGTGTTCAGCCCAGCAACACAACAGGCAGCTTCTGCAGCAGTTTGACAGAGCACAGGACGCACTGAGAGAGTTACTGGCCCGCAACTCTGCCATGAAGACTGTCCGGGTCAGACAGACAGACACAGACAGACAGAACGACAGACAGACAGTGTAGCTCAGGAATACAAGCCTGGCACCTATACTGATTGTGACAAACAGTTGTACTTTATTCCTGCCTTAAAAAATCACATATGCTCAACTTTCATCTTGACCTTTGACCCTTGTAGATGGAGTATGAGAAATACCTGGAGGAGAGCGCCCCCCACTGGCAGCAGCAACTCAAGGAGAAAACTGCTCAAAGGAAGGTCTGAACAATTATCCATATACAGCCTTTAATTTTCAAAGCAAATTGATTCAGCAAGCCGTTCATAAGTTAATGAAACTGGATCCTTGTTTCTTTGACAGAGGATGGAGGAATACTTGAGATCATGCCTGAAGAATTCAGAGGAAGAACAAATGAGAAAATCCTCTGCTGAGCAACTTTTACAAGGTTTGTTCTCTTCCTCACTCACTTTAAGAAAGTATATTCTCACATGTATCAGTTTTCTTTTAGGGCAATACAGATATTTCATCATTTACTTGACTCCTATGAATCATTTTTACAGCCATGCTGTCCTATCTTGTTAAGATGTTTTACTCTTAGCATCACAACAGGTTCATTTCCACGCACAGTCACATTTAGCATGTATTTCTATTTGCAGGATTAAAGCCACAGAAATGTTCGGCCCTTCAAGAGAACAAACAAAGCAGCCGCTCAGACAACAACCAGGAAGTCTGCACTCATCTGCCCTGTCAGTCTTCCTGGCTCACCCACACTCAACCCCAGTCAGCTAGGTTTCCAACCAGCATGCCCCATCAACCCCAAGGTTCCTCTCTTGTTCCTTCATCTCTCCTCCTTCCTCCCTCCATCCTTCCTCACTCCCACCAATTCCAGCACCTCACCCCCACGCTCGCTCATCATCCCATGTGGCCCAGGCAGGATCAACCAGACTGGGCTTCCCCTCAGTGCAACAACCCCTGGTCCTGGACTACAGGTGCTGCCAGGTTCCCCTCAGCTTTTGAGGCTCTGTGGGGTCAGCTGCACATGGATGAACCTCTACACGAGAGGTTGGTGGAGGCTGAGACAAGAAGAGCACCAGAGATGGGTGGTGAAGAAAGGAGCAGTCACTGCCCCCAGGAGCTGGACATCAATCCAGGTGGGAAAAGGAAACAAGCATTTATTTCATAAAATGATGTGTACTTACAATACATGTAGTGTTGTCTTTCTTCTAAATGTAACTGTCCCTTGTGTGTATCCAGTTCGTCTGTCCAGTGGCCAGGCAGAGAGCAGCGAGAGTGGCAGAGACTCCGGTCAGTCGAGCAGAGAGAAGCGGAAGAAGAGGGAGAAGAGAGGAAAAACAAAGCGTACGTCCTCAGACAGAGAAAGCTGCAGCTCTCAGGAGTAAGTAAATCTACACTGATCAGTCTTTTTCTCTGTCTATCTTCATTTTATTCCCATTTTATGATCTTTCTATATTTTGATTGTTATTTTAATTCCATTGCTTTTCTTTCTGTTGAGCACTTTGTAACTAAGTAAGCTTTTTTTTATAAACAGTTGTTTATTATTGTTGTTTCTGTTAATAATAATAATAATGATCCCCATTTCTGACTTTATGTTCCGAATCATTATTCTGCTTATTATTTATTCTCACCTTTTGCTCTAACATAATATATGTATGTGCAGGGGTGAAGTCTTTATAACAAAATAGTAAGTTGTTTATTCCTGTTTCAAGCTCATCTCAGACTCAGACTTCCAGTGCAATTGTCATTGCTAGAGTCACAGTGGTCCAAAGCTCTGAGAGCGATGCCTCGTCAGGGAAACGCGGGACAAGCGGAGGTGAGAGGACAAAGAGGAGTGGGGGACTCGCTGTGGGATCACCACAAATCGAGAAGATGGGGAATGACACGACCAAGAGTGAAGGAGACTCTGAAAGTCACAAAGAGCAGAGTCACTCCACTGGAGAGGAGTCAGGGAGTCAGAGTGCAGACTCCAGGAGCAAAGATACAGAGAATCTAAGTCCTGTTGAGAAATCAGACAGAGAGGAGGAATCAGAGAGTGATAGTGTGAAGATTGAAAATGGAGATGCAGAAAAAGAAATGCAAGAGAGCAACAGTGGTGCTGAACAAGACAGTGAAGAAGAGACGGATGAGGAAGAAGAGGAACATAAGAACGATCTTGGTGATGGGGGGGAAAAGAGTCAGAGAGATGAAGAGAAAGACGTGAGACATGTGGATGACGACGATGAGGATTCTGGCAGGAAGAACACAACAGAGGAAGAGGAGACAGGAGCAGATGATGAGTTGGAAGATCAGGGAGACGATGAAGAAAGGTTTAATGATGAAGATGGGGAGAAGAGAAAACAGGGTTCTGCCTCCTCTCAGGGTGAAGAGGAGGATGAAAGAGTTGACAACAAGGTATGGGAAGGTGAAGAGGGGTCTGATGAAGAGGAGGAAGGAGAGGAGGAAGAGGAGCAGAGGAGTGACGAAGCAGGAGAGGAGGAAAGCGATTCTGATGACAGTATCATCTCACCACAAGAAAACAGGTAAAATAAAGGAAGTCAATGATTTTCTTTGTAAATGACTGAACCTGACTAAATTAAATATTATTATTATTATTATTGCTATTTTCAGACTGAAGAAGATTCACATAATTCCAGAGGAAGCAGCTGAAGACAACGACAATGATAAGTCAGGGAGTAAAACAGGATCCTCAGACGGGGATGAGTTCAGTGAGGACGATATCGAGAATCTCCTCGCACCTCAAGAACAAACAAAGAAAATGTGAGTCCAGTTTTTAGGTCTGTGATGGTGAAGACACATCAGAAAATGTTTCTCATATCTTTTTATGATCATATATTCAGAGGCAAGGACCCGAAAGATGATGACAAGACTAAAGGTAAAGTATCAGTTATAACCCATCACAATGACAGGATGAGATGAAGATTAAAATAAGATGTTCAATTTCTTTTCCAGCAACTTGTGACTACGTGGAGATTTTTCAAGTGGACAATTCAACAAAAACGGACCAACAAAGTGATTCTGATGAGTTTGATCACTTTTACGACTAAATGTGTTTTAAATGCATCTATCAATCCATCATCTATATTCCTTATCATGGAAGAGTCACAAGGGGGCAGGCTGGAGCCAATCCCAGCTGATACCGGGTGTGAGGCAGGCTCCCCCCTTTCAGAGACACTCACACCTACTGGGGTTAATTAACCCAGTGGCAGATCTAGGATTTTTCTAAATCAAGGGGAGTAAAGGGGCCACGATTAACGAAGAGGATCCAATTATAAGTCTAAGATCCATTTACAATTCCTGAATCTGTAGCACATTCAAGTCATTACTTGTTAACTGTTAGCTCTATAGCTTTAAACAAAGCTACATATCATGAAAAATGTTCCTTGTTCAAGCACATTGTGTACTTTAAAAAATGCTAAGAAAATAAAACATTCTTAACAAATTGTCATATCTATTGTTAATACTTTTAATAAGTAACTAGTTCTCTTTAATACTGACAGGGCAGAGGCACGTCATGGGTCAATTAGATTTCAGATGGGACCAGTGCCCCCCCTGGGCTGCACCTAATTTAACCTAACCCCAGTTCTTTATGAGAAAGAAGGCAAAACTACTGGATCTTATGTTGCATTAAACATTTAAAAATGTTGCATAATTAACATTTAAAATAAAAAATGGATCACCTGGAATAACACCGATATTGTACATTGCATTATCTAGTAGTTTCTAGATTTATTTCTCCTCTGAACAGAACCACAGATATAAAGCTTTAGAACAGGAAAGGAGAAAGGACTGTGAAACAAAAAACATTTACTTGTTGTGTAGGCAACACAAACCACAGGTGAACAATAACACTCTCAGGGAGAACAAAGTACATAATTAACTTCCAATGTTGACAATAATTTATTGGTGTTTATTTCTGCTGTAGCAGAGAGACTGAACCCACCTTTCCTCCAAAGAACGTACACACCCTCAACATGTTGGTCGTATGGAACTGACTAAACTGTGTGAGGTGGTTTCAAAAGTTCCAAGAGTTGATTGTTTGTGTGACGGTGAGAATGAAAAGTCTGATCTCTTGTTAGATTTTCACCACCTGAGCAGTTAAACAGGGGCTCGCTCTTTTCCCATCCTCTGACGTGGCGTGCTGAATCAGCAGCCTGCCGTAGGTCCCGCCCACTTGGCCTTTTGTTAGCCGTCCAGGATTGACACAGACGCAGCCAACCACATCCTGAGGACATGAGAATACAAGGTTTTAAAAAGGCTCATTAAGATTCTGACAGAATTATATACAGAATAAACAACGCAGAAAATATGTGCATTTGTTTGCATTTGACTAAATATATGTAAAAAAAAAAAGTTCAAGTTCTGTATGTTGGGCTGCATTGTTTCCTTTTATCGATAATTATTTAAAATAAAGTGTATGGTTAAACTTTGATAATATATTAACATGTCAATTGACCAATCTTTTCTTCTGTTATTTAGTTTCACATTCACTCTGACAATGTTGGTTTAGTCCTTAGTTACACTTCCTGTGAATGTGGATGACATGTGCATGTAATGGAGGGAGGTTTGCACCTTTACAAAGTAGCGCAGCTCAGAGGGAATGATAAGAACGTCGGGGGTGAGCGGCATCTGACCGAAGCTCTGGAACTTCTCATAGTCCATGTTGACCTCCTCCACAGGCGGATACAGCGGGTAGTAACTTCACGTTAACACAGAAACAGAGCGGGGGCGTTAATGTTCGGAGTCATCAGAAACAGAAAAGAACAAGAGTCCTCAGGATTCCTACCTCCTCTGTGTCAGAATGTGTTTCAGTATGCGGGAAAATCTGTCTGATCCGGTGCCACTGCAACACAAACCAAAGTAACTTTTAACATAAAAATACAGAGTGGTGATAAATATTAACACATTTATCACTGCAAAGCAACACAGCATTTGTTCATTTGAATTATGTGAAACTTTCCTAAGTCGCATCAGTAACTGAGCTCCACAGCAGGATGAGGCTATGTGAAAATTTTAAATTCTGTTTCGTTATGAATTCTTCCTCACCAGCTGATCTCCTCTGCGCCCATGTGGAACAGGATGTCAGTGGATGTCAAGCCAAAGGTCACACCGTCGATCAGGAGGGTGCAGGGGTCAGGGACCAGGGTGACACGCTGCGGAGTATAAAGAAAAACATACGGATCATGATTTGTGACCAAGCACTTACCAATGACTAGGCTCAAGTCATAAAGACAAGCAGTTAGCTTAGTCTGCATACAGAACACCACAGTGAGGTCTGTGTGTGTGTGTGAGAGAGAGACCTGAGCCTGGTCCTTGCTGAGGTTTGGCAGAGTGAAAGGAGGCTGTGGGTAGATGAAATGATGGTGGATGTCTCTCTGTGAGGGCACGAACACCAGATGACAGCCAACACTAGATAAAAGCATAGTAAAAAAAAAACAAAGGTTTCTGATAAGGACACCGTACATAAATACCATGAGGAGAAATGTGGCTTCTCAGAAGATTCAGAAGTGGAATCAGAGTCCGATGTGAGATTTACCTTTTGGTCCCATCCACAATGCTTTCAATACATCTTAAGAAAATGGCCTCAAACGTCTCAGTCACCTGAGCTTTCTGTTTAAGAAACATCATGACATAACAAATGAACCCTTGAGCCAGAAACTCAAAATAAGAAGAGTGATTTAAAATGCTAGATTTATAGTGCATATGTCAGTCAAACAATTTTTTTTTAAATCACAAAATATGAGTTCAAAGATCAGCTCTTCTGGGAAACAATGGATTTTGTTCACTGATAAACTGACCTCGATTTGTTCATGTTTGGAATCCAGAAATGGGCCAAGCTGGAGAAACAAAGGGAGAATTAGGAAACACACACATAACAGAGGCATTAGAGGATTATACGACAGTGACTGAGTCATTGCATTACCAGAAATTTGGTACCACAGAATAATAAACAATTCTTGATTCCAAATCTGATACTCTTCAGGGGCTGGTGCAAACACACACACAGTTAAAGTTTATAAATCTTATCCATGATGATCTGCGTTACACACAAAATATCTCCATACACCAGTCTCTGGGTTTTTTCCCATGTGTGGAGATGTTGACGCAGATAAACTTGCAGCCGCCATTACAAGTGTTATAATTTCTTCTTCTCTTCAAGTTTGATATAATAATGAATAACAAGCTACACAAGGAGAATGTTTGTTGAAGAACTGAAGATTATTATTCATTAAGAAAAGGTTATGATACCAGCAGGCAGACATCAGGACGATCTCTGACGATGATACTGATCAGATCCAGCAGAGGGTCAAAGGTCAGAGAGCCAGATGGTGTGTATGGTCCACAAGCCACAAGGACATTCATCGGTTCTGCAAATGCATGAAAAGACAAGAGACTTGGTTGATGTGATAAGAGACAAAACTATGGCACCCCTTTCATGCAGTCAGATCTTCTCTGCATGAACATGTTTGTTTAATCTCTAGAGAACATCGAGTTCTCAAAACAATTCAGTACGAGCACAGTGCGAGGCAAGCAGTGTTCCTTACCTTCATACATCTCCATTTTCATCTCAGGGGTGTAGAAAGGAAGAGGGACGCCCTAAAAGTTAAAATATATAAACAGACTTAAAGAAGCACTTCATTTTGATTTTAAAACTAATCTTAAAGTAAATGTGTCGTCTTTGTCTCTGTTAACGTGTCAGCCCTTGTTGTTGACTTGTAACTGACCTCATACAGTTTGGAAGCCATCAGTTTTTTTCCTGTTGTGTTCATCCCCTCCATCATCACCACCTGCGAAACGAGGGCAGACAAGGATGAATCTGCTGAATGCGTCCTTCACAGTAGTTTCAGATACTACAAGCAGACAGTTACTGATTCTGAAATCTGTTGTTGGTGTCAGAGTTCTCGGTCAGACGCTGGGTGAGACTCCATCCCAGGTCCTTGGCATGCTCTGTTTCTCTTGGTGGTCACATAACCTGCTGCACAAACTGCAGTGCAGAGGCTAAGGAGAGGCCACCACGACATTCAATACATGAATTAGTCAAAAACAAATAGTTCTCATACAGCTAACAAGATTTTCACAGTGTCCTTCTGCGCACCTGACCAGGAAACAGGGAGTACTCGTTGAGCTCTGATAGGTCAACGGGTACTTGCTGACCACCTTGCTCTGGTCCCGCCTCCAACAGAACCGACTGTGCGTTCAGTTTGCCGTTACCGTCGCAGCACACCTGTCCCAGCACTGTTATACTGTCCTACAGGTGGAGAGAGAGACACACCACACTGAGCAGCCAGGTAATGATGAGACACAGATTTGACTGTTATTACAATTAACTATTTTAGTAATCTAAAATAACCAATGTGAATTACACAATGAAACTATGGTCACAGTTTTTCCTCATAACAAGACGTTTCTTTCATGACTGATGTAATTTAAATGAATTAATAGCTAATTTAAAAAAGTTACAACGTTTGGAAGTTAAGTTATTCACATTTGTAAAGCTGTAGTTTCATTTGAAGTCGTAACAATACTCAAAGCTTTTGGTAGCGTCCTACATTTTTTCACAACAATGACATCTTTACCTGCGCTGGCAAAGAGACGGGAGAGAACTCTTCGATGTTGAAGTGAGATTTGAGGCGTTCTCCCAGCTCCTCTATCTTGTCCGTCAACACTGTGAAAGAAAGAAGCAAAAAATCTCTGGTCAAGACTTTGACAGTTGTTAGTTTCTCATTATCATCCACGAGGGTGAATTAGGCTCTCAGTAGTTTCTCTCAGTGCACAGTGCAGTGTCAGGTGTTCCTCCACCCTGATGGCAGGAGTCAAAACTCCACTCACTTGTACCATCTTCACTCCACATCAAATGTTAGTTACTTTGAATGTATGTAAATGTGTAAAATCATGGGACATTTATTTTTGACAGAAACTGGGGTCTAGAATTTAAGACCATGAATAAGGATGTACTGTTGCATACCATTTCGAACATCTCGCAGCCTTTGGAACATGTACTTGTAGCTGCAGTGGAGGGAGCCTTCCGAACCATCCAACAGCTCCAGCTGGACGCCTGCACCTGGAGCCTTCCTGCCGACCCAGCGGGCGCCCTGCACAGCCCCGAACGTGACCACCACCTCCCCTTTCCCTCCTCGCTGGCTGTACTTCTGTGATGGCGTTGCACTGCAGAGAGAGATGGGAGACGAGCAGAGTCAACAAACATTTTAAAGCGAGTCAGTCGAGTGATTCTTTTAGTATCGTGACTCCAAAGTCAAATTGTGTTTGGAGGTTGGACTGTTGATGTGCTCGGCTGAGTACCTGGGAGAGAAGCTGGCAGGAGACAGCAGGAGCCCTGGGCTGGCCAGCAGAGCTGTACTCCTCTTTGAATGAGGGTGTTCAGGAGTGGTCAGTGCTCGCTTCTGAGAGCCCTGCACAGATGAGCGTGGCACAAACATGGTCAGAGCAGATCACAGGAGGTGAGACCATTTCTCTGGACAGCTAGTGAGTCATAAAAGTGCAGCTCTCAGAAACAAAAAACCTCAAAGTTTTGTATAAGAATAAACGTTAACCTTTGCAGGAGTAGAGTAGGAATCTAGAAGATCGTCTTCCTCTTCCTCTGCTTTGATTCTGAACAAATAGTGTTAAAGGCTGCAACACAATGACATAATCAAGACAAGACACTCATCAGAGACAACAGGTGGATTCAGAGGGAGAATCTGTTGGAGACTCAAGATTTTTATTTTTATTTTAAAAGATACAAGTCCTGCAGTGAGTGAATGTCTCTGGTTCTGTTTTGACTTTCTTCTTTTCTGAAGCTTTGCTTGGATTTCCTCTTGTTCAAAACCTGCAAAGAACATGGACCAACACTATGAGCAAAATAGTTTCCCTAGCTTCTGGTTAGAGAAACTTTTATGACCAAGCTAAAGTTATTTTTTTTCAGAGCCTGTACGACTTCACTATGTCACCTCATGCTTGAATTGCTCCAGGGTGTCCATGGCAAGTTTAACATTTCTTGTGGAGCTGTAGGCGACCCACTCCAGCAATATTGTATCTGCCTCTATCCTGCTGCAAATACACAGCTCCACCACTGATGGAGTGAAGAGATGGATGTGAGGAAAACGATGCATGTTTGAATAGACATACATGAGTGTACAACCGTTTTCAGCACTTTAATTTCTTCTACATTGTACATGTGATCAGTCCCAAATTATTTCTGCAGCATGACAATGAGCCCACACACAGAGCCAACTTCATAACAGCGATAATCAGAGTCAGGAAAAAGGACTAGTGACAAAAACCAATGTGCTGTAAAGTGATCAAGATTTAGCACAATGGCAAATGTTGCTTTGCAGGACTGTGAGGAGATGAATGACAATAACAACATTAACAAAGTAATTGACTGCACACGATAATAGCATAAGAGACTAGTCACATAACATTGCACCTCGGGCTGGACGACATGGCAGATAATTATATCAAGAGAAATGTTTTCTAATATACACTTAAGAATGATATTGTATTGCATGGATGCTGTTCTGATGCTCAGCCCTGTAGGCAGTAGTGGACAGATGGATGTTTACATACTCGCAGCCTCTTTTTAGCCACTTTCCCTCTGAAGAATTAAGCATCGTTAGCCACTTACTCTTGTCGAGGACCGACTCGTCGGGACAGGGGATGCAGAATATGTCCAGCTCGGACTTTAAGCTCTCTGCGGTCACTAGCACCATTGTTCCCCTCGGTGTATTTACTATGATGAAGAAGAAACGTCAGCAGGTCGCTTTCTACTGTCACTTCATAACAGCGACTCGGTCTTCGAGTTGAAGCAGTTAACTCAAAGTTAATGTGGCGGGAGATGTCAGAGCTCCGGACAAACCTGATCAACGCCAGACGCTCATTTCATTTTACCGCGAAAAGACTAGGGTCGCTGTTGGCGGCCGGAAGCTTCGTCACATCCATAAGCAATAACAACGGAAGTTGTTCTTCTTCCTTGTTTAATGACGGTAAGCTGCATTACCGCCACCTATTGGACTGGCGAAAAAAAGAAAAGAAACGAAGTAAAGAAACAATAAATTCTTTATTTTCCTTTAAAAAATAAATTTATTGATGCCATTGGGTGTTGCAGGATATTGTTACAAGCATTTACCATTTTTGTCTTGATGTTTGACAAACCAAACAATGAATTAAATGATAATAGCATAAATAATAATTAGTTGCTGCCTGAATATAGATCTCCTTTGGGACGGCTATCTTTTGAACTAAAATACATTGTATGTGTGTGCAACACACAAAGTATCATAACAACATCAATGTATTTTTCTTGTAATAAAAGGTTAAATAATTCTTCTGTCTTTTTATCACCAGCACATTTACAACATCATGAATATTCAGTCCAGCGTTAACTGCTTCCAGAGGCTTCAAACTCAACACATCTCTTTAATGACAAACTCAGAAAGTCTCAGATTTCTGTCCTGGTGGGTCCATCACTCTCTGCCTCTTCCTCCATCTGTGGAAGTAATGATATGTTGTTAGATAAAGGTACCAAACCAGACATCTGACATTAATGAAGTGCTGCTATAGGAACTGGTTGTTATTTGTGAACAAACATCCCACTCACCTGAGCAGAGTAGCACCAGACTCTAGGGGTGAATTTCCATGATGTCACCCTCCACAGAGATTCACAGAGGGAGGCCGACAGTTCATGGGTGTCACGCACCTGACAAACATACATCATGTACGCATTTGTAACTTCTGTCTCATCATCAACATGAATATGAAGATATCTTTGGATGTAACAGGCCTATTTACAGTGTAGCTGTTAAGATCTTTGTGTCGTGTTTTTTTCAAATGATCTTTTTTTTAATATATGACTATAAATATCTGCATGTTCATTTTAAAATTAATTTCTTTCTCACACCTTCATGCTGTTCAGACAGGCATTTCTGAAGTCCATGTTACTGCTGCAGCTCACGATACTCATGGACGAAGCGAGAATCACCTTGGCAGCTGAACGCAGCTTCTCTTGGTCCTGTCACATAGAACACATCACTCAAACACAAGCTATTAGAGCTCAGATACATGATTTCATTATTTACTTGATCTACAAAAGGTCAAGTTATATTGAAAAAATGACCACAACGATGTCCCAACCGGACATTTTCTTATTACTTCTTTTGACTGACCATTAGTCCAAACCCAAAGATTTTAAATTCATTAGTGATAAAAACAAAGAAAGGCATCGTATATTTCTGAGATTTGAGAAGGTGGCACAAGCAAATTGTTGGCAGTATTTCTTCACGAATTGATTAATGGATTAGTCAGATTCGCTCCAAATCCAACTTGTATGAGTGTGTGTCACGCTTGCCCTTTTCCTGCGGTGTTGGGCTTTCAGTGTTTTCTTTAGCTCAGTCTGCAGGGATGCTGTGACTGCCTGTCTGTTGTTGCTCAGAATATCCTCCAGGTGGTGCTCTATCAGAGCCTCTGTAGCTGTAAGAGCATCAACAAATTACTCTTGTATTGTAGCTATTGAAGAATAAATGAAGGGGGCTGCCTGTAGTGTTTTGTGACTCTGCATGACAGACTTTCTCTCACCCATGACATCAGAGAGCTGCGAGGTGAAGGGGTCGCTGTGCTGCAGGAAGAGGAAAAGCAGGAGTCCCTGCTGCATTGTGGGAAGACTTGATTCTTCCTCCTGGTTTTCTTGCTCTACTTCATACACAGTGCCACCATTGAGCACAAGATCTGCAGAGGATGATGAACATTTTTTTCTTTTAAATCAAGGAGTTAAAGGTACAGTGTGTACAATTTTGTGATATCTAGTGTTGAAATTTCATGTTGCAGCTGAACACCCCTCACCTCACCCTCTCCTAACAAACATGACAGAGAACCTGTGGTAGACTTCAATTGTCATAAAAACTCAAAAAGTGTTTAGTTTGTTCAGTCTGGACAAATGTAAAAAAACATGGGGGCCTCCATAGAGAGGGTCTCCTCCATCTAAATATAAAGTATTTCAATATAAAAGACCTTTTCTGGGGTAAAGAAAACTACAATTCATACAATTTAGATGAAATGAACAAGTGAAAACATCATGAGGATTATTATGCATTAAATTTCTGCCAATAGTTCCCTTTCACCTAAATCTTACACACTGGACATTTAATAGAGGGAAACCTTTCTAAATTGCAAAATCATTGCAAGCCCACACTGGTGGAAAACACTGTTGCAATCAAACAAATGGGAGACACACCCATGGGTTGGGCAGATAATCGTTTCTACCATTTGGTTTAATAGGTCTAGTTTGAATAGCTTAATGCCACAGTAAACTTACCTCCATTAATGTAAGTGTTTGTGATCTTCTATCTGACAGCCAGACACTGGGGCAGAGTGCATTATGGGAATTTTTTATTGTGAATGTATGAGCTATGTGTATCCCATGTCAACCTGTGGTTTCTGATTCACTGCGTCATCTACGAGGGAGTAAAATACATATTGCAAGAGCAGTTTGCGAGATGTTGGTGAGTTTTTAGTTTCATCATGATTTTACTTTGGCACAAGCATTCATGCTCCCCTGAGCAGATGTAAGCAGGCTAATAAGATGGTGAACGCAGTAACATTATAACTGCTAAAACACAAGCATCGTAGCGATGTGTTCATGCTGACGTTTGCATTAAGCAGAATTCATGCAGCGCTTTAGCCAGCAAATGAGCCAAAAATCATTCTGATTGTTGTGTGATCACTGTTCAGTGTTTTGATTTAACTAAGATGTTATTGTAACCAGTTCATAATTATAATATAGTTTTAGTTTTGAGATCCAAATCCACTCAATGATTCTGATCAAATTAAAGTATGACAAACTCAAATACTGATTTCTGGTATGAAGCAGGATGAGAACCAGAGTCTCCAGTGTCGAAATCATCATCATCCAAATTATGGTTACTCTTTCTTCACCCCAGATTCCACACTACACTTCTCTTCTGTGCAATGTCACAGTGTGCAACAACACACAACACTCTGTTTGCAACTATTGTAAACCACTGGTGAAGTTTTTTTTTCTCCAGAACATAAATCACAGGAGACGATCATCATTTCCGTGATGAGTTACGCTGTTGTCAAGAAATGGAAATAGGCCATTCATGAGTGCTGTCTCTTCAAACTAATTTGTTATTCGGTTCTGTGTGTTTTCTTTGTTCTTCTTCCACCACCTTTATTTCTCTGATTCAAATTATGGGCTCTTTGGCATTCATTAACATTTTTATAACCAGCTCCAGGCCAGGGCTGTACACACACTAAACAATAACAGGTGGTGGAACTTACTCTTCCACTCAGACTGAGAGAAGTATGTCACTTTTATACTTTGTGCAGGAAACAATCCTGGGGGGGAAAAACACTAAAATGTTTCCTGTCCTGGTGTGTTTGTACCATAAGTGGTTGTTATATACAGTACCTTTGTAGGAGGAGCAGTGGAGGCCGTGCACACTCAGTTCTTCACAGCCCAGATGAGCAGGGAGGTTTTGGAAGAAACTTGAGGGGCCTGTAACAGGAACATTACTGGGGCTGTAAACCAAAACATACACACATGTGAAGTCAAGGAAGACTAACTATAACCAGATGCCCAAACAACCTCCACAGAGTAAACACGGATGAGCAGTGATTTAACTCTGAGCTTCTCACCCTTCTCAATTTCTACTGGTGAGAGCAGACACCCTGAAAAGGAAACTCTTATCATTGTTAGTATAGTGATTTCAGTCTTTTGTTTAATTCCCAAAGCTTAAATGACCCTGTGTGAGGAGGGTTGACGGTTGTCACTCGTGAAAAAGATCCAGTGTTTGAGTAACATAGCCTGGAACTTGGAAGTGCTGGCCATCATCCCTGCAAACGCTTCCAGTGCACCCTGGAGGTCACACTGTTATAAAGTCACAGACACAATCCAGAGACCACAAAACTACACACTGCTCCTGACGCCGCCCAATGATAGTTACTAGCCCAGGAGGAAAAGAGGGTTGTCCACAAAGGAGGGTCAGTGCTTTAATCACTGGCGCCTCCAGTTGGCTTTCCAGAGTGTCCCTTGGCAAGAGACTGAACCGCAAATAGCCCCTGACAGCTAGGCTCACAGTGTGTGAATGGTGTCATAGAAAAAGCACTTCGTAATGATACGCTGTATGAATGTGTGTGTGAATGAAAATTTTACTGTAGAGTGTGTTGAGAGGTCAATAAGATTGTAAAAGCCTGAAATAAAACAGTGCATTTATCATCACATCCAGAATAATAATAACATCAGCAAAGGATATTTGTATGTGAGTGAGCTGGGTGGCCAGATTTGGGTACTGCAGCACACAGGGGCTAAGGAGTGTGACAGGCTGGAGACTGAGCTCCCCATACAGGCCTTGATCCATGGCTCGTGGTGGGATACTGAGCAGCAACCTGTCTCCCAGGACAGGGTGTCCTCCCTGACACCAGCATCCTTTCTTAACATACTCTGGAGGCCTTTGAACCCAAGAAGAGAAAATTACTTTTCTGCCGACAAAAGTAAATAAAGCACTTTTCCTCTATGATATGAATATGGTATATGACGATAAAACTAGTTTTCACTACACATTGCCCCCTAAAAGAAAAATAGCATAATAAATAATGTTAAAACAACATTACTGTGTGTTACAGGTGACATCCAAACTCAATGGCCTCTCTCCTTTCTGTGCAACTCTACTTTTGATTTTCACTCTGCAAGAATATGAACACAATGTTAGTGATTGATAAAACAGAGGCTGGTATTTCCATCCACCATTTAAAACAATGAGCTGCTGAATTACACCCATGAGGGATTAACTGGAGTAGTGAGATTTTATATTTGTTGTAGTAATTATGTTTTTACTGTTAAAGCCAAAAATGTTTCAACACACTTTAAAAATCGGACCTACTGCAAGAGTCTTTGTGAATGAATTTATTTTAATATAAAATTCTTAATTACTTCATAAAATAACTAAGCATTAGGTTGTTAATTACCATGTAATGCACATTTTCACATAAATGTAATTTGTGATTTTGTTTACAAGCATATTTGTTTTATCTGCAGTAGTGTTTTAAGTTTTTTTAAGTGTTAGTTGTACCGTTAGTTTGGATAGAAAGCATAATAATGCACATGAATTATCCATAGATATTTATAATTATATAATATATAATATTTACACTATTTAGTCAATTTTAATTGATTGATGTCCCTGTCAAATAAATACATAATATAAAGAAACAATAATAGAAATAGAAATGGTCAATTTTGAGATCATTTAATAAAAGGCAGATTCTCAACAATTACCAAACAAGAAATCTTTAATTTGTTTTCTGCTCTCTAGCAGTCGTACCTGAATTCTGGTTGGAGGGTCTGGTGGATGAATTTGTATTTGAGGTGGATTTTAATCTGTGAAAAATATAAAGAGTAAAGTTTTTGCGAACCAGATTTGCATATAACTATGGATAGGGAAACGGATCCTCTCATACCCCTGCATTAGCCAAGCTGAATGTGTGTAGGAATGTCTCTATGTGAGTTTTCCACTCAGGACCTAAAAGTCTCCTATCTTTCATCTGTACGGTGAACAGAGGTAAACAGAGAAAGACACGTTACTGTCACTTATGAGATTTGAAAGGAAATACACAAGAAATACACACAAATTAAAAAAAATGTTGGCTCAGTTTGAGTCCTGAGGCTCCACTTATTGCCATATGTGCCATTCTGGTCCAATTATAAAGAGCAGTAATGTGTCCTTGTACAGATACTGCATCACTGAACAATCCTCAATAAGCTGTGCTTAAATGTTCAATGATCAGTAATTATCATTCAGGACAATAGGTTGCTAGGAGGATGATTGTTGTTTGTACCTGAAAGGACAGGAGTAATCTGAGGGAACCATACAGTTCAGTGAAGACAGACAGCTCCTCAGGGTCTGGCTCAGGACACGGCCACGTGCAGGGAAACATGCTCGCCTTCAAATCTGTGAGAACTCAGGAGGCAAACCGAGGTTACGTAGAACACAGATGTTGTTCAGATGTCATGCTCTGTTAGGTTTGGGTACATACCAGATTGGAATGCTTTCATTTTAATCCCAGTGCACCAAGGACCAGCAGCTGCAACTGCACAAAAAAAGGAATACTGTTACAACACCTTGTTTTTTGCTGGGATTCTTTTATAATTACCTCCCTAAAGGGATAGTTCAAATGTCCGCTGTGATCCATGCACAAACACACGGCACCAGAGGAGAATATCAGGGGACATTTTGGCTAAAAACATGATGTAAATGATGTCGTTTCGTGTCAAATCTGAATGTCGGGGCTTACGGACACTTGGATAAAACCACATAAGCAGCATGGAGGCATTTTATGTTTTTTTATGTTTAAATGATCGGTCACTATTTACTTCAATTGAATTGGATTTGGCTGTAACACTGTTTACCCCTGAAACTCCAAAAGTGTTTTGTGGACTCGAACACTTCGCCAAACCCTCCATCTGCATAGTGGTAGATAATGAGTGAATTTTCATTTTGGGTAGAACTGTCCCTTTAAACTACAATCCACTCAAAGCTACTGTCGTTTTGTCAGTAAGGGATATTCACAGATTGGTAATAATATAAATGTGCTTGCTTGAGGTAACTCAATTTAACAGAGCCTCTTTCTACTATTTAAACCAGCGATAAGGGAATGCACAGTTTAAGATCAACCTCACATTTGATAGACAACATGGACCCCCAGTGTAAGCCCCAGGTTAGTTCACACTGATGGGACGGCTCATGATGTGGGTTGAATGGTTCACGCTCACCAGTGCAGTTTAAACTTTGAGCAGCAGTTTTGGTTTCAGTCCACAGAAGAACAACAAGTCCCCCTGTTGTCTTCACAGCACGCTGTCGCCTCTGCTTCCCCATGAGCTTCACCAGCCTCAACACCTGCAGTCATCACGACACCTAGCTCAGCAGGCTAATGCTACACATGCTAGTTAGCTTCAAGGGAACAGTCTGTATTTTACACACTACAACCTGTGAATTCATTACAAACTACAAACTGTGAATTCATTACAAACTACAACCTGTGAATTCATTACAAACTACAACCTGTGAATTCATTACAAACTACAACCTGTGAATTCATTACGAACTACAACCTGTGAATTCATTACAAACTACAAACTGTCAAGTACAAACAATCTGTTAAACAACAACGTTTCCAGCTAAAAGAATCAAATGGAAAGACTCAAGCCATTACCTGCTGTATCTCTCTCCACATGTTAGTAAACTACTGACACAGCATCACTGTGGTGGAGTGACTGAAGTATAATCAGACACATGTACTTTAATCATCAGAGGTAAATGTACTGTTAACTATTCTGTAGGAAATGACTACTGTGAGGTTTATATCACTGGTACCTTCAGGTAAAAACTGTATTTTAA